GCCGGGAGTCGTTCCCCGGGGGGGGCCCTGGCTGGCGGCACAAGACTTTTCTCTCTGGCCATGGGGTGTCCCTGCTGCATTGGCCTCTCCTGGCCCTTCGGCCATGGCCCTGCCCCTGCCAGCCGGAGTTGGAGCCTGGGGGGACGCTCCTGCAACACAAGAAGTACCAGGGCAGCCCCCCCATGGCCCTGCCCCCAGGCTGGGCTTGGGAGAGCGCCACGGAGATAAAGCACCAGCCGGAGCCAGGCCCAGCGAGGGGAGGGCCGGGCACAGACCCAGCAGCAGGGGAGGGACGAGGGGCCGTGCGGGGAGCCGGCAGGGCAGGGCCTCTGGCCCCACACGCTGCCAGGCTGGAGGAGAGACGTGACCCTCCTGCCAGCTGGCTTCCCCAGGCAGAGCCACATGGCCCTGGGCAGAGAAGACTCGTCTGCAGATACGAGTATCAAGGCTCCAGTCTCGGGCTGGTTCTCCGAGCAGAGCTGCCCAGAACGGGGCTGAGGCTGCTGGGGTTGGCGCCCGCTGCACAAGGGCGCTGGAGGCGACTCAGCTGGCAGCGCTCTCCCGAGGGAGGGGCCTTGCCACAGGCACTCGGGATGCAGGCTCAGGACCACTTGGCCTCAACCTCCCTCCAGCGCCTGCCCCCGGGCAGAGGGAGGCAGCCCAAGGCGGCGAGGGGCATGGGAAGGGCGCAGGGCAGGGCTGGCAGAGCTCCGGAGAGGCTGCATGTTGATCTTATGGAGCCAGCGGCAGCAGAAACAAGGCAGGAGAGAGCGAGCGTCCGGTCCTGGAGCCAGTGAGCACTGGGCCTGCTGCTGGGTCTCTGCGTCATATCCGCTGTGGAGAGAACACGGCAATCAGCACGCGCCCGCCTGCGCCCGCGCCCCCAAGGCAACAAGCAGCCAACAGGAGTAGGCAAAGCAGCAGGGCCAGGTGACACTGGGACCAGCTTCCTCGCCCACCTGCAGACCCAGCCCCGCCCCGTGAAGGGGGCCTGTGTACACCACATCCCTGAGCCGGTCCCTGTGTTCCCGGCACCTCGTTAGAGCCCCAGCCCCCCACGGGGTGGCGGCCTCTGTGGGGATCCTGCTCCTGGCCTGGCCAGCGGGAAGTGACCCTCAGAGCAGCTGTGGGGAGCTCTTGGTCGTGGGGCCAGGAGCCGCCCAGAGATACCCAGAAATGCCTGGCCCAGGGCAGGCGTGACGCGGGGAGTAGCCAGGCAGGACGG